CGACTTCTACTCCTTGGCTCCTTCTTACTGCTGTCTTTCAGCCATACTCATGATCTTCTGTAAGGAAAGATCTACACCTAGCCTTCTCGGACAAGGGCAAAACATCTCGGAGATCCCGTGTGAAAGTTGCACACGTTAAAGATCCCTTGGTGGTCTAAAATCGATAAGAGTAGGCTTCGGCCACCACCCGGACAAAATTCAAAATTTCCTACCAACTGAAAATGTTTGGTGTGTCCGCGCGCTCATATGACCTTAGCCAGTTGGGAGCGCCGTAAAACACTTACCAAAAAAAAAAAAAAGTCTATACATGTAATTAGTTTTAAGTCTATATGATACCAGACACAATAAGTGTTTTTGATACTCGACATATTTCAAGTCTGAATGATACTCGACATTAAGTCTTTACTGTACGATACTGATACCCGACACAATTATGTAAAGTGTATTTTCCTGGGGTATCCGAAACGTGCAAAAGTTCCTTGGAAATACCCGATATTCCAGAAGTTTCCAGTAGTGGACAGATTTCTAATCAACTCGAACAATTGTTTGGAAAAAGCAGCCGTTCCCAAAAACAGTCAAACTTGCTCTAACAGCCACCTGTCCAAGACAATCACCTGTACAAACGACCACTTCCCATTTCCCGCTAGTACATTTTTAAGATCAGGTAAGATAAAATAAGAGAAGATAAGATAGGACAACACTTTGTCATCCCAGAGGGAAATTTTTCTTGGCTGTACATGACCGTAAAAACATATGCAGGTATACATAAAAGTATTAATTATACGAGGTCTGTCTCAGAATAAAGTTTCCCTCCTCAATAAAACGCAACCAACAGCCACTAAAGTTTGTGAGGTCATGACACCATGACTAAGAAATCTCAACGCCAAATTGCAAATACATTGGTGAACGGGTCATAGAGCTGTGACGTGTCAAGTGTGGTGTACTTCTGTACTTTGTCCAAGGCAAATCAGAGGAAAATGGCTGAGCAAAACATTGGTGCAACCTTCTCATGCTACGATGTCTGAGTTGTAATCAAATGTTCAACTCTTCTCAGCAAGTCTGCAGTTGAAACCCATGGTGATCTATACAAACTAACAGGGAATAAATAATGCCCCATCAATTCCAACAGTAAGGAAATGGATCAGGGAGGTTGAAGGTGGGAGGTCTGACATGAAAGATGAAGTGCACACAGAAAACATGGGGAGAGAAAGGTGGTGCACATTGGGTTTTTTTCGACATGAGTGGCTTCATACTGAGCTGGCTAGTCTCACCTGGTGTAACTGTCAATGGTGGTTACTACAGGTTCGTCCTCAAAGACAAGCTGAGACCTGCGATCCAGAAAAACCCCCGCTTTGCTTGAAAAAGGCCTCATCCTGCATCATGACAACGCGCCTGTTCATAAGACCAGAGTTGTGAGCGAGCTTTTTGAGGGCTACTCGTGGGAATCAATTGTGCACCCGCCCAATTCGCCTGATCTCGCCCCATGCAACTTTCTCCTCTTCCCTAAGGTGAAAAAAATGCTGCGAGGTCGGCGATTTGAGGACGAGGACCAGATTCATGAGGCTATGAGAAAGGCACTCGGGACCTTGAACAAACGATCACTGACCACTGTCTTTGACCGCTGGGAACATCCTATGGAGAAATGTCTTGAACTTGATGGTTCCTACGTTGAAAAGGTATTTGAATAAGCTTTCCTTTGATACCAAATACAAGGTGATTTATTATTATATGTGAGGACAGCATGACAGGGAAACTTTATTCTGAGACACACCTCGTATATTTCTCTCATTAAAATGCAATAAGACAAGAGAAGTAAAGCGGACAAAATGTACATACCACCCATCAGAAAACATCATAATGATACTGCTTAAGACGTTCACCAGCCCAAGACAACCACTTTTCTCCTGAACAATAGGCGACCTTCCAAGACAATTTTAGCTGTATCCCAGAAAAGATTCATCATTTTATTTTTGTTCGCAATTGATGTTCTGCCAGACACCAAAATAAAGGTCGTTTCAAAAGCGGCGTCGCTCTTGTAATGGCATTTAGCATAGCGAGCTAGACAAAAATCTCTCAGACGATGGATGAACTTTATCGTAATCCCACCCAAGTGTTCGCCAGTTAAATCCATGCCCACCCCATCTCCCCCCTCCCCTCCCCCCTCACCCTTTAAAACCCCTGAGTAACGTAAGATATAACATTAAGAAAAAAAAAACAACAACATTAATTATATTAATGATAATAATGATAGACAGCATTTGTATAGTGCAAATCCCCGCTCAACAGCAAGCCCTGATGCGCTTCACAATCTATACTATTACCCCAGCAGACCTGAGAGCATTCTCAAACAACCTCAACTTCCTTGGAAGCATGATACAGTGCAAGCAGCTGTTTATTGGCGCTAAAACACTAACAAACATTATCCCCCCCAAAAAAAACAACAACAACAAAAACAACAACAAAACAACAACAACAACAACAACAACAACAATAACAACAACAACAAAACAACAACAAAAACCAAAAACAAAACAAAACCAAACAAAAACAAAAACAAAGAAACAACCAATAAAAAATTTTAAAAAATAATTATGAGCCTCATGAAACTATCTTTTTAAGCTACCCAGTAGGCTACGATACCAGCACTGATGGTGTAAATTAATAAGATGAATATTTGGAGTAATTTTCTTTAGTCAGAACACAACGTTGTATGTTACTGTTGTATGTTATATAAATTGAGCGCTATATAAATGTCATTTATTATTATTATAATTATAATTATT